ATAAGCAGACTTGATGATTAATATAAGAATATTTGGTGTCTAGTGAAACCCAAGAACAGGTAAGTAGCTGGAATTCACAGATAACTTGATCTAATGAATTTTATCTATATCCTCTCTGGTTGCTTCTTCTCTGTGATTAGGTTGATTCTTCCCTCTTGTCATAAGCTGTATTTTTCCACATGGAAGACCCTGTAGTATAACCACAAACCAGTGCTCTTATAGTTTAGGTCAACCAAAAAAAGATTGATTTTCTTAATGCTTTACAGTTTTTTAAAAAAACCCTGCCTAGATTTACATGAAGACAAACCTTGAAGTTTCTGTTTAAAAGAAGTTTTGGTTGTTTTTTTTCTTTTATCTTTTTTTTTTTTTAAATTCGGATTTGTTATGAATCTCTACTTAGTGGAAATGAACATATTGAAGAGGCAGACTGGAATCTGCTGTCACCAGTTTGACATAGGGGTCCAATTAAAGAGGATACTCACTATGAAGACAGAGGGCATATATAGAAGAGCAATACGGGGTGTGGAGAAAAAACTTGGGAGCCATCAAAATCATCAGAGAACTGGGTTTTGAGACTCAGAAACCAAATTTGATCAAATTAGGCCTAGCCTCTCATGATTGCAAAAGTGAACAAGAGCCAGGCTGAGCTAAAGGAAATCAGGAATCACCAGTTGGAGAAAAAAGCTCTCAGGGGCCATACTTGGACTTCACCACACTCTAGTTTGCTACTACCTTGAAATTTTATTCTCTGCTAATATATGGTCCCTGGCTTAAAAGATTCCAAGAAACTTCTACGAAACCAATCGGGGGGTAGGGGGTGTGTGGGAGGGATGTGAAACAGAGAAATGAGAGAGCCTTCAGAGAGTCTGGTAGAATGGAGTAGCATTATTCAGAAAAGCCCATCATGGCATCTTGTTGACACCCACACTAGGGAATTGTTGATGTCAGATCTGTGTGATGTATTGAGGACATGCATTCATGGAAGATGTGTATTATGAAAAAAGCTGCATGGGCTTCAAACTCTTTGCACCAAAGTAAACAACATTTAATTCAATTTTTCCACATACTTTTTGCAGTACCCACATGTACATGTGTGTTTGCACAATCTATACTTCCTGCTTGTTCATGCATTTTTGTTAACTTTTAGATCCATTAATATTAATTGAGGCTCTTGGGACTTTTTAGCACTGAGAGCGGCAATGAGCTTTCCACATAACATAGATCCTATGTTGCACAGATTGCACATAACACAGACTTCACATAACCCAGCTCTGGTACTTCAGGATTCACAGACTCTTCATCCTGCAATTATTAAACTTGCAATTATGACTGGATAAATAAAATGTGATATATATATATATATATGCACTGGAATGCTACTCAATCATTAAAAAAAATGAAACCCTGTCTTTTGTAACAAAATGGATGCAAATGGGCAGCATTATGCTTAGTGAAATAAGCCAGTCCCAAAAAGACAAATATAATATGTTTTCTCTGATATGTGGTGGTTAATATAGAATACAAAAAAGTATAAGAATGAAACTGACATTTTATGATTTGATTATTGAATTTAGCCCTTGTCTATACTCCTGTGAACAGTGGTCTTTCTATTTTTTACTTTTTGAACATTGTGGTTAGTGGTACATTAAGATTGTGGTTGTAAGGTAAATTGAAATTATGTTATTGAAAAAATTGAAAGGAAATAAGAAGAAAGGAAAGAAGGGGGGTTGAGGGAGGGAGTGAGGAAGGGAGGGAAGAATGATCATCTTAGAATTGTATCAATGAAATCTTTCAAATCCATTCTCTTTATATTTATAAAAATTAAAAAGCAAAGCTATACTTAAATAATCTAAAAAGATCATTATAGAAATTTTAGACAATAAAGTACAAAAGAAAAAAATGAAAAAAATAAATTGCTAATTATTAATTTATAAATGCAGAATTTAGTTGTCAGAATGACTAGTTAAACAAAAAAGGTAGTTAACAGTTTCATTGATGACGTAAGTGATTTTTGGGTACCATAAAAATGCTCTTCAAAGCTCACAAAGATATGTTACTTTATTTTATTCCATCATCTATCCCCTATAGCTTTATTTAGTCAATAATATCTAAATATTTATTGAGTCTGTGTATCCATGTACTGTGGAGAATTCTAGAGAAATGCACAATCCCTCTCACTTTGTAGTCCATGAAGTCTTATTAGAAAGAGCAAACTTACATATAAGAAATGAAGAATAGCGACATAGCAACATAAACATAAAAAAGTTGTAAGTGACATTCCATAGGAAATGGGCTTATGTATAAAATTTATCCCCATAGCATAATAATAATTAATACAATCTATATGAAGAAAAGAAAAAGGATGAATGCCCCGAATCAAATCAATATATAAACTTGATAAAAGCTATATGAGGTAATTGGAGAGATATAAGAATTGGGTGTAATGCTCAGAAAACTTTCATTCTACTGAAGGATATAAGACACAGATTGTTTTGTGAGTCATAAGTATCAAACAGGAAGCACGGGAGATGTGCCATCAAAATTAAAAACATAGGGGCCAGTGTTGTGGCAACATGGATTAAGACACCACTTGTGACACTGCAATATTGGAGTGCCAGTATGAATCCTGCTTGCTCCACTTCCAGTCCAGCTCCCTGATAATATGCCTGGGAAGATGTCCCAAGTACTTGAACCCCTGCCACCCACGTGGAGATCTGGATGGAGGTCCAGGCTGTGGCTTCAGCCTGGCCCACCTCCAGCCATTGCAGCTATTTGGGGGATGAACCAGCAGATGGAAGAGCTGTTTCCCTGTCTCTCCCTCTTTATCTGTCATTCTGTCTTTCACATAAATAAATTGTTTAAAAATTAAAAACATAAATATAGAATTACGTTCATCAAATTGCTGTCAAATGCACCTCTTGCTTTCAGGGTAGTCTTTGCTTTGTCTGGTGGCCTATGATAATAGGATAAAGATTTCATACCACTGCAGGACTCTTGAGATAGAGCCACCTAGATCCTGGGATCATGTGGACAAAATGGATTTTGATGTCAGGAAGGCCAGTTTTCAATATTAGTTCTCATTTTCTCTGAGCTTCATTTTTCTCATCTATAATAATGCCACATCAATATGATTTAATGGTAAATGAGGATATATATGTAGATCCTTATGTATACTTAGAAAGTGGTAATTCTTATCACCACTTTTGATATGTGAGATTTCCTTAGAACTCATGATCTAATCTGCCCTCTTGAGTTTAATTGTAGCCACTGAAATACCACTAAAATCTCACAAACCATCCAGTATATATTGTTACAGTCGTCTGCCTTTGCAGACCCTTGCCACTAATATTTAACATTAATTTGAAAATTGCTGTTTATAAAACACATTCAAATATAACTCCTCATTTGATCTTTAGCGTTTATTACTCTTATTATACAAAGAAGACAAATAAGTCCAAGAGGATTAGTGGACTTGTGCCCCTCCTTGACCTCCCCCATCATACCCCCAGGAAATTTCTGAACTCCCAAGTCACACAATCAGGAATTTGCTGAAAGAACCTTGGGCCCAGGTCTTCTGACTCCAAGCCTCATATCCTTCTCCCTGCACTACACTTTTTTTTTTTTTTTTTTTTTTTGACAGGCTGAGTTAGACAGTGAGAGAGAGAGACAGAGAGAAAGGTCTTCCTTCCATTGGTTCACTCCCCTAATGGCCACCATGGCCTGCGCTGTGCCGATCTGAAGCCAGGAGCCGGGTGCTTCCTCCCGGTCTCCTATGTGGGTGCAGGGACTCAAGCACTTGGGCCATCCTCCGCTGCAGAAAGCTGGACTGGAAGAGGAGCAACCGGGACTAGTACCCGGCGCCCCAACAGGGACTAGAACCCGGGGTGCTGCAAGCGGAGGATTAGCCAAGTGAGCCAGGGCACTGGCCCCTCCCTGCATTACACTTCTTAACAACAGCTAATTCCTCCCTTCTCCTTCCCCTCCCCCACCAAGGAATCCAGTAGGAACCTTCCTTTCCCAAAACCTCTGTTCACCACAAAGTCCTCCCTTCCCGCTGATAATTATAAATATATCATGAATGTCCAATTCATCTACCATGTACATATGGAGGCCAAGATTATGTTCACCATCCCCACTTTTTGGGCTAACACTTGGATTTTATTTTGTAAAACCACACTTGGAATTTTATTTTGTAAAACCTGCAGGATTTCCATTTGTTTTATCATCTGATTAAGATTCCACAGACACAAATTGACATTAAAAAGTTGTTAACTCTGTTAACTCCAGAGGGCACAGCTAATGAAATGTCCCAAAAGTTAAGTACTTGCTAAAACCACCGTGTCGTTTAGGACAGCTCTCGATTAATCATGATGAGACTATTTCTTCTATCTAAATGAAATCTGTAATTTGGGATGGAGATTAAAGATCCTTTGGGGGATGAAGGGAAAGTTGCTGCGAAAATTCTTGAAACTAGAAAATAAAGATAGGTCTACTCAATATTCATGAAGTCAGATTGGTGAAGCAAATAGAGATTGCAATCTCTTATTTTCTAATGACTTAGCTTGTAGCACTCCTATATCAGTTTCACACAGATTACCACTCAACTCTAAAGGAAGTTATTAGAAATTATAGAAAGTTTATTTTAAAGAAAGCAAGTTTAGAATATCCAATATGATTTTCTGCCATCTTTGACTAATTTTAAATTTGTATCTAATTTCTAAAATATATGATCAGAGGTGTATAAATGACAATAAAGAAATAATATAGTATATGCAATAAGTAAACATATGTCTTTAGCAAGTAAAGTATTTTGTGGTAAATGTAATAAATATTTCAAGTTGGGGAAATTGTGGTTATCCTGAGCCATTTCATTTATCCCTCCAATCCCAAAATGATGCCTGTACAGGCCTTCAAAAAATGCTTCTTTGTTAAATAAATTTAATAGACAGTCTTAGAAAAGGCTTTTGGTTATTTAAATTTTTTCTACTTCTCTCTTTTAGGCCAGCCCTGCTCCTATAATTGTCAACACAGATACTTTGGACACGATTCCTTATGTAAGTAGCATGCATTTTCATTAAGATTTTTCTTTAAAAAAAACTACAGTAGAATTCAATCAACTAATATTGAAATTTAACCTAGTTGCCCTCAATCTAGATATTATGAAATGATGTATAGGTTAACTTGTATTTTCTTTTGATATTTACCAAATTATGGCTTAGTCATATAAATATTTTCTTCATTCAGTATGATAAAACATGAGGACATGTCATGAGAAAATATGTAATTATTCTGTTAGAATAATGTTAATTTGATAGATAGTTCACTGTTAAGAGATTGAATTGCTCATAGTACACATGGCAAACTTCTTGGGGTTTTGTATTAAATGAATACTCAAATCAATGTCTTTCACAGAGCCTAGATATGAGTTTGTGATTCATTAGTATTTGATTAATTCTGTCGGACTATTAGTAAGAATTGGAGGGAAAATTTTATGAAGTTAGAGTATATTCATATATGGTAGCATGTAAGGTTTTATGAAAGTATGGAACACAATACATTAGAATTAGGCAGATTTGTGATAACTGGCATTTTTGTGCTTGCAACACAACTGCCATGACAGCCAAAGCAATTGAGGACAAAGTCTGGCTGGGCAGGGAAGATTGGAGACTGGGCAATAGGGCAAAATATAGGTGACTTATTGACATCATATAGAACCGAAAAAGGCTTTGTGAGAGGGCCCTAGCTGATGGGTAAAAGACAAGATCAGGGAAGATGGGACAGCCACGTGTAGGTCCATGCAAATGGGGGTGTAAAACAGGGAAGAAAGACTGCAGAGAAAATGGACAAGAACAGATTCATGGTATTTGATAAAATGAATAAATCATGTGAAGCACTTAAAACAAGTACTGTTGTTCTTGCCTATTCATAGTCTTAGACTCAACCTCAAGTACCTACAAGTGCCAAGGAAACCACAGAAATAAATGCAGCAAGGGAAGCGGGGACTAGGACAATAAAAAGCACATGGTCTTCTAAAAGAGGCACCTGCTTCTGGGAGCCCAGTGTTGCCAGCTGTTCAAGAGGGGTTTGGAATTTGAGTTTTTGTGTACACATTTCCAAATACAGGAAACTCGTTTGTTAAAGTTCAAACATTGTGTATACCACACAAAATGTCAAGTCCAAAGGAGGCCTTTTAGTAGATTTCTTCCTCAACTGAGCTCAAAGTCCTGAGCAGGCTGTGTAAGCTAGGACTCAGCCACAGGGGAGCAGAATGCTAGAACTGGAGTACAAGGTTGGGACTTGATTACAGAAGCAAGTGACTAAAACTAGGACACAGGGTCAGGACAAGAATAACAGCCAGATTGATTTAATGCTGAATCACCTGGACTACTGAACTAGGGCTTCTTAAATCTTCCTGATGAAGTACAGTTTGGGGCCAGACAAGAAATGGGGTTAAGCCAACTGGTAGGAATTAAGAGGCCCCAACTATAGTAAATAAAGGGCTCTTTATATATATATGTATATGTATATGTATATATAGTAAATTGAGGCATCTAGTGTTCTTCATTGCACCTCTGATTCAACCTTCCTTTATTTACCAACCATTAATTTGTTGGAGTTACTCTGTACCTAATAGTGTTTTAAGCACTTAGGTAATAAACTCTTCTGATTCTCAGAACAATCTCATGAAGTAGGATAATTAACTCCCTTGTTTTACAGGTGGGAGAATCCATTTATAAAAAGTTAACTAATTTGGTTAAGAACTCAAAGTAAGGAGCTAAGCTAGGTGTGCATAGGTTGCTATAGAGTTTGTGTTATTTAACTTGTCTCTTGCTGCTACTGTGTTTCTTCCTTCCCTCCCTTGTTTTCTGTCTTCCTGCTTTGAAACAAAGTTATGTTTGTTTGTTTTTTGTAACTTTCCACTGTGCTACATGTGGATTTAGGTGGTATACAAACTTGTGACAGTCTTCAATACCCTCAGGATAGGGACCATGTACTGTATGTATTGAGGAATCCTATGCCTTCAGCAAGTTCCTTTACTGCAGCTCTCATCAAAGCAAATAAGCAGTGCTTTGAAGAAGCAGACAGAGCACAGAGGCTTGTAAGAAGGACCACTTCCTTGAGCCTTCCATTAGGGTTCTCATTGCTTAGCTGCCAGAAGCCTTCCTGTATAAATAATTTATCAATGGAACCTAAGGGTCTTGCATAGACATGCTCAGTTGCTATCTCAAGTAAGTAGTAAAATCAGCTACACATAGCGAATTAGTCAAATGGATCCCATTCTCCCAAATATAGGATTTGAATTAGACTTTGAGTTCTTCAAAGGGCTTTTTTGTTTCATCTTCAACTTTTTTTTTAAGATTTATTTATTTATCTTAAAGTCAGAGCTACACAGAAAGAGAAGGAAAAGCAGAGAGAGAGAGAGAGAGAGAGAGAGAGAGAGAGGCCTGCCATCCTCTGGTTCACCCTCCCATTTGGCTGTAACGGCCCAAGCTGTGCCAATCTGAAGCCAGGAGCCAGGACCCTCCTCCAGATCTCCCACGTGGATGCAGGGGCTCAAGGACTTGGACCATTCTCCACTGCCTTCCCAGTCTATAGCAGAGAGATGGACCAGAAGTGGAGCAGTCAGGACTCAAACCAGCACTCACATGGGATGCTGGCACTAGACACGGCAGCCTTACCTGCTATGTCACAGTGCTGGCACCATCATCTTCAACATTTTTACTAATTATGCAACCTCTTTGTGCTTCCCTAAAAGTTAAGATCTTTAGAGAGGTGTGCTAAGGAGTTTTGTATGGTGAAAATGCCCTACTTCTTAAGGCAGTATGTTCTCGAGCAATTAATACACTTAACTTCCTAGACCTAAATTCATGTATTTGACAGCAATTGCAGTACCTACCTCAGAGTATGTTGTGTGAATTAAATGAGATTTTGTGTATAGAATCATGCTTTGTTAACTTCTGTGATAGCATATCGTGCATTTATCATTTATTTTAAAATGAACACTTATAACATGTATTAAACTCTGGTAGAATGGCAATAATAACATATTCTCCCATGTAGAAGAAGCATGACTGCATTATCTATTGAAAATGGCAGATGTCATAGACGGTCATAAATGTGACTCTGCTTTGCTTCTTGGCATTGCACCAACTCTGTCCTTTGTTCATGACTCACTGTGTAACCTTGAACAAATCACTGTTCCTTTCACAGTCTATTTTCTCATTCCCTAGTGCTCTACACTTTGTTTTCTTCTTTTCTTTCTCATGTTCTAGTTGCTCACATAATTTCAGCTCTATTTAATGAAAAAACGATTTCAGAGTTCCCCAGGGCATTTTAGTCATATTGCATAAGAACATTTCCTTCTTAAAAAATATTACCTAAATGACAAATTTTAACTTATGTATTAAAGTCCATCTCAAAAATAATTGCATTACAAGAAAATGCAAGTAAATGGAATTTTTGGTTAGCAAATTTTATTTTGGATATAAATAGTTCTGTAGAAATGGTTTATTGGCATACTCACAAAGGGGAATTGAATAAAGAATTTCTAGATTCAGAAGAAACTTCTATGTAAATATCTAATGAAGGTAGAAAAGATATCTAAAGAACTTTATGTTCTTTTTAAGATGGTAAGTCATGGGACATTAGAGCTGTACCATTAAGGAAAGAGTTACTTATGTTATTACAAGTGAGTGTTAAATAAGCTCAGTTTTGTATGATGTCATATTTTATGGTTGAGTAAGACCTTACATGTGGTACAGTCTAGTCTCACAAGCAAAGCAGGAATGTCCTATATGAGAACTGGAATCATGCAAGGAAAAACAAAGAAAGAGGAAAAACAAATTTTCTCATTTCATTTCTCTCTAGTTTCTATTTTTTCACTTAATCTTTTTATTCTTCTATATTAGATGTTTAATATTATTTTATGCTAGATATTGAAAATAGACTTTGTGTAGGTAGGTTCACAGTGAATGCAGCCTGCTTGTAACCTGTAAATCCAGCTCCTTGAAGTTTGGCTTAATCGGGTCGTATCATGTTACCCTAGTGGTAATTCTGTATCCAAAAGTGAGAAGCACTCATCTCCTGATATTTTTCTCCCCTTCAGAGGACACTTCACATTTCTCTATTGAATGCTCTGTAAACAAACCCCATTCTTTTGGCTTAAAGTATAAAATTAATCCAAGATATTCTAGACCCCTTTTTTCCCCTCCAACCTTCTCTAGTATTAATTTTTTAAAAGAACCTTTTATAAATTGATTTATTTTTATTTGCGAGAGAAAGAAGAATGGGTGCTCCTATCTAACAGTTCACTTACTATGCACTTACAATGACTAGAGATGAACCAAGCTGAAGCCAGGAGCTAGGAACTCAATCTGGGTCTGCCATGTGGGTGGCACTATTTGAACCATTGCCAGCTGCCTCCCATTGTATGCATTAGCAGGAAGCCAAAATTGATAGTGGACCCAGAACTCAAACATAGGCACTTTGATGTGGGTTTCAGGCCTTTCAAGTGACATCTTAACCAGTAGGCCAAATGCCTATCCCTAGTATTCATTTCATAGTTTGGTAATATTCTGATCTGCTTTCTATATATACACAGTGCACAGTGTTGTATTTGAGAATCACAGGTTTTCAATATTAAGTAACTTGGTGTTCAATTAATGCAAACCTCTCATCTGACAGACATAGGTATGTAGCTCAATTGGAAATGGTAGGATTTGGGTACCATTTACTTTTACCCCATGTAATAATCAATTTTTAGTATGTCACCATCAACCACAAAATCAGTGACATCTAACAATAATCATTTGTTTTTAAGTGTTTGCCAGTTGACTAGGCCAGCTGCTTAATGCTTCAGAATGCCATATTGGCTGGGACAGTGGCTACCCCGGGTGGTTATTACTTGGCAGTGAAGCCCATAATACAATCACAGTTAAAGCCTCTGCTAGTGTTCCATACACTAACATACAATTTGCCAGAACAAGTCACATTACCAAGCTCAAAGTTCAGGATGGAGTGAATGTTGCTAAACAATGAACAAATTTACCACACC